GTAAACTACGGTGGAAGTTTTCCACAAGTTTCGCGACCTAATGAGAAACTAGACACGGACTTTTTAATGGGTTGCTCCTCGACGCGCTGTATTCTCATCGTTATTGTAACCAGCCGAACTTTTTTCTCAACGTCAACTTCTCTTTAATCGACGTTATTGAGTACTTTTACCTCCACTGATTCACAAAGTGAATTTTTCAATAACGGCAAGTAATCTAGAGAATTTGCTTCGGAATTGAATTTTTACACGATAAGAAAGTTGAGGGGATCGATTATTCGATATTTTCATTTGGTAGACGAGTAACTATATCATTGGTCGAGCTTGTTACTCAGTTATTGGAGTGCAGTCGAAAGAGTCATTTTGTTAATGAGATAAACTGTAACATTGTTTAATGATTTGTTTCAATGTGACTGTGCTATAACATATATACTGTTTGTATATATTAGTAAAAAAAAGATGCAATTAGTGCAACGCTGGGATATTGAATTTTAAAAGATACAAGAATATATATATGTATATGAAAAAAATTGTAAAATATCTTTTTGTAATATTCGGTACGTTAATCAAGCTTGTATCTCTTTAATTATATTCTTAGAAATATGAATAATTGTACAAAAATCTGTAGACTATTTATTACAGATATGTACTATATCCAAGATAAGTATTGTACACTTAAGAAAAAAATCAAGTTTCACGTCTAGACAAATGTATTATGCAATATTACAAAAAATTTGCTCCAGTTTACGATTCTGATTGTCGTATTATTTTTTAATAATTAAAATTACTATTTTACTTGTACGATCGCACGCAAGCGTCATAATATTTTCTAAATAAAAATCAACTTCAACAACTTAAGTGGATCAACGTTATTTCACATCGAGGACAACATTTCGAGAATTCGCCCTTCTCGAATACATCGAGGCATCATTATCATCGAATATTTATATGCTAAATATAAACTTTGCTATGATCGTCGAGAAGAACCAGAATCACGATAGGAAATGACCCGAAGTTTTTCAGACGCGAACGCGATTATTTCTTCCGTCGTTTATTCCGACAAACGATTCGCGTCGCGAAACCACGTCGATCTATCGATCGTCCGACGACAATGACACGATCCACGCCACGTCGCATGCAAAACCACCACGTTTCGTCTTGAATCGATATCTCATGAATTTACAGCGGGCTCTGAAACGACTCGATCGCTTCGCGAAACACCGCCTTACAACCGATCTTCGTCGAATTGCCGCGATTTGTAAACGATAAGAGATTCTCCCGAGGAACGATACTTTCCGCTGCCGACGGATTGTTGCGGCGAAGAGTGATTCTTATCGCGGGGAAACGAATTTCGAACGTTGGAGACGTTGTCTTCTTTCGATACTAGCCTTGGGAACGAGACGCCCGGATCGTCTGGTGTACGTGATCTCGCGTACGATTCCGGATGTGAAACGGCATTGTTTAATTTAGACGAGGCGAACGAGAAGAAGATATCACGTCTATTTTAAAAAAGACAAACGTCACGGCTCTCGAGGAGTCCCTCGAAATCGGACGGTGAATAATTAACGCTATTACACGGAAATATTTATTTATTTTGCGACCCGTTTAATATTCGATACTCTCCATCACCGAGTCGTGCGACGAACGAAAGAATCGTATTTGAACGGAAATGCTGGATCGTTCGAATCTCGTCGGCGAGTAGAATTTATCAAACGGGGATAGCGACTGATTCCATTATTAACGTGTCAATCACGTGCAATTGCCTGTCCGATTTCCGGCCGAGATAGAACGGTCAAGCAAACATCGAATAACGGCCGAATCAGTTTCGAGTCTTGAAGGAACCGATGGAAGGCCAAACGGGTCCCCGAGGCAATCAACGAGATCGCTAAACGCTCATCGAATCCTCTTAAAAACTATCCCGACTGACTTGAGATTGTTCCAGCGTGAATAACTGTCGCTGTTCGTTCGTTGATTCCGCCGAACACGTCCGTTTCACGCACGTACAGTTTATCAGATCGAATAAACATCGCGGTCGTTCGAAGGCATCGCGAATGAATATTCAAAGGAGTTGCCCGAACGCGAGCTTTTAAGAAAGCGGGAAACGCGGAAGAAGAGATCCATTAGGAGGAAGGGAATGATAAGCTGGCGTTTAATGCGAGAATCAATCGACAGGGGGGCACGTAGGGCACAATTATCAGGATGCTCACGTCCCGATTCCTTACGTGATCCTCGAGGACGGACTTACCGCGGGTAAACACGGCCAACTGAATAGACGGATATTCATAGCGGGCAGCGTTATCGAGCCAGGAGCTTCTTCGACGCGGCGAACGTTTCGAGACTTCCATAATGATGAACCGAAATCCGTAGCATGCACGACCGATATGTTACTGGCCGCCATCACGGCGTCTGTTCGCCCGTAAATAGGCCGTGAGCAGCAGTTGCACGCTGTTCCTCTCCATATTAAGTGGCCAACTCGCGAGGAACGGAAGCGCTGTTGCTCTTTCCACGCGACGATCTGTTTCGATGAAAATCGAAAGATACTCGAGATTATTGGACCCCTTCGAGTCGAAATCGAATGTGAGGAGATGGACGAGAAAGGACGCGGAAGTTGCACGCAATTCGTCCGGTCGAGAGTTTCATTGGATCTCAGGGTTAATGGCCGTTCGACGAGGTTAATACGACTTTTAACTTTCCAGCTTGTCTGCGATCCGTTAACGTAATTACGCGTCCCATTGGAAAAACCATTTGAGGTAATTACAGCGCCCGTGTTCGCGAACGCGAACGGATACCGCGATGCATTACCATGCTCGGTGCTTTTAATCGACTGTTTAATAATTCCACGTCCACGTGATTTCGCGATGGCGGTGGCAAGTTTTTAATGTACGAGCGCGAACGAATACGCGTGCACACACAGAGGGCTATACAACGGCGCTACAATTCAATCTGCGAAAACCGCCGGGATTTTAATCAACGTGAAACACCTCTGATTAATGCGCTCCGTCGCGGTTCGCGATCCGTCTCGACCTTGAAAAACCAGGCTGCTCGCTCGATCCCGCGTGCAAACGAAAGAGTAGAAAGAACAACGATAAGAAGAAAGCTTGCGCACCGAAGGCTCGCGAGGAGATTCATCCCCCGAGCAACACTTTGATTAAACGTTCGAACCAAACGTGCGTGCGAAAACTTTGATTAAATGTACAACTGCAATTCGGAGTCTTCAGTGTCTGTGTGTTTCTATCGATTTTGCGACTCAGCTGCTGCTGGCTTGAATCGTCTCGAAACGACGGATCATCTGTTTATTCATGAACGTGAAGTACAGGGTGTTTTCGTTGAAAAATACACGAATGCATTTGCACGGATCAAAGACGGATGAAACGAGCGTGATACCGCGCGATACCCATCCGCGCGAGGGATTGCACGATACTATGTGATGGAAAACAATTTGGATACACGCGCCACGCATAATGCCGGAACTGATTACATGACGATGCAGGATGGCTGAAAATCGGCCGCTGTGTATAGTGCGCGTTAATCTCGATGGACTGCGCCAGCCAGAGCACGGACATGCTTGTTTACCGAGTAACGATTAACTACAGAGATAGGGAATGCAAATAGCCGCGAATCCCGACGGGCGTTTGGTTTCAACGGTTGGCTCGTGGATGTCGTCGGGTTCGTCGTCTGTTCCACCCTCCAAGACGCCTCCGCGACGGAAATCCTGAACGGCACTCTGGGAAATTACTATTGTCGGTTAATGAGCTGCACCGGCTAACTACTAATTTCATTAACGAAAGTTTCGAGAAAACCTGATTCTTTCGGTCAGGGGAGACCAGTTCTTCGAAATTGAAACTACGTACACACGCTCGCGAAAGTGTTCCAACATTTATCTCTCAATCAGACGAGTCTCGAATTGGAAATTAGATTATTTAGAAATGTAAATTTATTAGTTTTACTTGTAATACCCATTTTGCACAGTAAAAGACATTTGATTCCTTTTTACGTTGTTGTTACGTTGTTCTAATCGCTTTGATTCATTTATTACGAAATATTAACTCAGGAAAGTCCAATTTTCATAACAGTAAGAACAGTCTGTTCATAACAGACTTGATTCACTTGCCAATTAAGGCGTCTCAATTGGCGTGTGTTCTATATTCATGTAATGGTCAAGTTTAAACAAAAGTCATGTAATGGTCAAGTCTAAACGCACGGGATGTTCGATCGTGCCATGATTCTTCGGAAACTTCCAGTAGTGCGGCAAAAAAATTGTTCAAATGATAAGTTACTAGTATTTGATTGTGAACAAACATCAAAAAGAAAAATTGCATTACTATTTCTCTAATGAAATGTCGGGGCGCCGTTCTCATCTTTCTGAATAGCACTGTGCAGTTATTTTTAAACGTTATTGTTTATTATTTGAGAAAAATATTAATGCAAAATTTTTATTTTAATTACTGTATACTGTAGTTTTACTAAACACATGTCTGCAAAAGATATCTGCACACTTTGAAATTGATCCTAAATTTTACCAATGCAATCGCGTTGATCGGATTTCATTGTAGTATCAATGAAATTTCAAAGTGTTTTGTATAGTGTGCAGAACAATTCTCCGTGATGAATATTTGAACACTTTCGCGAGCCACTGTACGTACCTACAATATATATAATACTTTTAATTATTATATCACGGAAGTACAATATCGAGAAAGTTATTCAACAGGGCATTGCTCGTCTGTGGGACTGTGTTCGTACAAAGTCTATACTCAAAATCGAGTACTCATAGGAAATTGTTCGAATATTCATAGGAAATTGCGCGGATCATATGAAAACATCGAAATCACAGAGGCGCATGGTCGAGGAGGAAAGTTTCGGCTCGCAAGAAGCAACAATGACAAGAGAAAGAAAAGAGCGGGCAGAAGTATTGTCAGCGAGAGAAACGCTGGCCGGGGCGCGTCGTTTATTTTAAGTTCTTTCAAACTCTCCGGTGCACTCGCCGAGAAACGAAGAAGGCGTCAGTGGCGAAGAAACGGGGAGACGTGGGGAGACGTGGTTGAGCGAGCGGCGGAGTGCGGAGGTGGTGGTACAAAGGAAGAGGAAAAGGAGGAAAAGGAGGAAAAGGAAAGAAAGGTCAGCCACCGGGCGAGAGAGCGGAGGTATCGTGCTGGAAATAGAGCAAAGAAAGAGCGGAAGGAGAAAGGGAGAAGACCGGCCCTGCTCTCCGAACCATTAGACAAATTTTATATATAGCGGCTGAAAGCTCATTCGTTTTTTCTGCGCATCGTTATCGACTATTGGTAACTATTCCGTCGTTATTATCGATCGTTTCGCGCTTTTCCGCGACCTCTTGCCCGAGCGTGAGAAAATCGACGTCTTTCATCTTGGGTAAAAAAAAAAAGTCTTTCTGGCTCAAAGAACTGCGTGAGATTTGGAAATTCTCAATTTCACCAACCCTATTTCTTCCTAGTTTCGCGGGAAAGATAAGAGCTTGAAGATAACAGCTTTTTTCCCCCGAAGCGTCGAAATTCGCGACACGTAAGCGCGGCAAAAATGGCCACCTGTAAATACGCGCGCGTTACTCAGGATGTGGAGGGAACAGCACGTTGTAACAAGAAAGGATGCCGTAACGAAAACAACTTTCACGACACAAACCATTAGACTTTTAAGAGACGCGTGTTGGCATCTTGCAACGCTCGACGACGCGACGAGACGAGACGCGCACGGCTTCCTCGCTTAACAAAGCCAATTTCCGGCTCGATCCCATAACGCCACTAACGGGACTAACTTCATGACGATCTGAAATTCTTCGTGAACATTGCGCCGCTCGTAATTTTTTCCTTATACTCTTCGGTGTCGCGTTACTTTGGACGGCAAGTAGAATGAGATCGTTCTCGATCGGCCATGCAAGCAGTGCCGATACGATCACTTTTCGTTTCGTCGGTTATTGAGATCGACAGTATCTTTTTTTTTTTTTATTACATCGTAAATCATTTTCAATTCAATTTCAAACAGCTGGTACTCGAATTTGTGTCATTTGTTACTATATAACAAACAGACGGGCAGTTAATACAATTAAAATACAATTAAAACGACAGAGTATCAAAGAAATATTGTTTCAGATACGAAATATTAAAAAGTACTGTACTTTGAATATTTCACACAGTTTTTTGTATTATGTGCATGCACTCTGCAATTTTGTATTTCGAAATGTAGAAAAGTCTGCAATCTAATAATGAATGAACATAAATTTGGGGATGAACGACGAAACGCATTACAGCGTGCTCATATAATTTATAAACGATAAATAAATCACTTACGGGTAGCGGAACGTGTGACAATCTTTTAATACGTAACCCGTCCCTATCTCCAACAGGATAAAATACTATGCGAATTTATTTATGTTAGAAGATGATGAACGGGTGTATTATAGAAGCATGCGAGTATTATTGGACGAATTGAAAAATACTTTCTCCTGGTCGAGCGCTTTATCTACCGTGGCAAGTTTCATTTCGTCCGCATCCAAGTGATATATGAACGACTGTCGTACTGTGGATTTTCAATTCCCGCTTGAAGAACTTCAGGTTTTTGATCTATTTGAACAGGATCTCCTCTATCTTTTCTTGAGACCAATCGTTGGAGAACATTGCGGAAATTTTCAAGCACAGTGAATCCTTTCTGATGTATCGCCGCAGCAAAAAATAAAATCGTTCGATAGAAACATTTTTCCATTTTTTCTGTTTTTTTTTTTTTTTTTTTTTTTTTTTTTT